TATTATTATTATTATTATTATTATTATTATTATTATTATTATTATTAAATCTTTAGTGAGATTCACAGCCTTTGGGGCTGGTTGGTAGCTCAACAGCTCGAGTCCTAACTAGGGACCTAGGAACTGTTCAGGTAGCATTGGTTTTACCGTACATAGTTTAAATCATTGATCACCATTATTATCATCATCACTATCATCATCATCATTTAATTGTTGGGTTGTTTGGCTAACAGGGGAATATATAGAGTGAATCAAAAACTTATAGCCACTATCAAAGCTTTGCTCTTTCTTTTTTACTAATACAAAACATTTCTTAAAAGGTGCAGGGTTTGATTGTATAATCATGGCTGTTATCTTGACATTTTGATAGCCCTCTATCCACTAAAGCCCCTGTTTGTTGAGCATATGTGCTTATTAGGTTGCCTTAATTATTCAACAAAACTGATGTTTGTGTTCTGTACGAGCCATTTGCATACTTGTAAATACCGCGCCCTGATTGGTCAGAGCGCACGGCAACCTGATTGGCCGAGCAAGCCGCACTGATTGGCCCACCGCGAATCCCCGCGATTGGTGGAAACTAATCGCGGGAAATTCAAAGCGGTGCCATTGGCCTCGGCAGTCGCGGCCAGGGAAATATAAGCCGCCGCCGATCTTCCTAAGCCCGAGCCGATCTCGGGACCTAATAAAGAGCTGAAACTGGTCACTGGCTCCCGAGTCTCCTTTCCAACGACGGACTTAACAGTTTGCTTTGCCATTCATTCACAGTTTGATAATTCAAATTTTTGTTTATGGAGTACCCATCAAACCATATGTCTTTTCAAATGCAATCAGCCATACTCAGAGGCATTGGCAAGGTGGAAAGCAGCAAGGTGCCATCATGCCACAGTGATGCTTTTGTCATTTGTCTCCTACCCTCTCTTGATCCTACCTGCAGATACTTCTGGTCACACCTGTCCCAGAATTATCAAAATCCTTGCTCCTAAAAGTAAATATATTTGGTCACTTCCTTACACTAAACTGAAAAGTCAAGCTTAAAACAAATGTAGTGCTTTTTATTATGTTATTAACAATACTAATAGAACTGATGGAGTCAAATGAGAGTCTTAGAATGCTGAAAAAATGCATCCCGAACCTGCAATATTATTAAATGGCAACTAAGCATATCCATGTTTGAAATGAAATGAATGAAATGAAAATGCATATAAGAGAGAATTAATGTCTATGTAGATTCTCGGTCATCCAAGTCATGGTTTTCTCAAAGATACATTTTCAAAAGGTAACTGGATTATTATTTTTATCCTTGAGGAAGATGTTTCACTTCTCATCCAAGAAGCTTTTCCAGTTCTGACTGGATGGTAGATGGATTACTTATCAAAGGAGCTTACAAATGACTCCTGAATGGAAATGAATGCATTTGTAAAAGGGTAAGGGAAGCAAAAATATTTGTTTTTATAGTCGGTGTTAGACATGTATATCAAAAACACAAATAAATTCACACAACATGCTAGATTAGACTAAAATGAGGTTGGGTAGTTGGTAATTCAGTACTATAGGAAACACAACACTGCCATTTTCTTAGCAGGTTGTGTGAGCTTTATCGCATTACAACATAATGGTTTATGGGAATGGAGAAAATCATAGCATGGTATACAAATACTAGGCTATGGTGAAGTTAATCTAGGTTTATTTCTTTTATATGGACAGAACCCAACCTTATTCTCATCAACTTCAGGAATAGTGGAAATTGTATTTCAACATCCACCAAGGCTAGCAAGAAGAAATAATTCAGAAACATGGTAGGACAGGGGTATCCAACATTGGCACTTGTGGACTTCAACTCCCAGAATGCCCCAGCCAGCCTGTGAGATGAACTTTAGAGAATGAAATGAAACGTGGAACTATTGTTGCTTTGTACTGAAGCAATAAATTTCAGTGCCCAAAGACAAACAAAGAAAAGAACCCTTTGTTCAAAGAGATCTTGCTTCTCCTTCACAGACAGATGGAGGGTACAGATAAAAGATAAATAGAATAAGACCAAGGGCTCTCTGCAATCTACTATCTGCCTTATTTCAAGCATGTATATTGTTTTCCAATGAATAAGAAGAAAAGAACACCTTTTCCAGTGATAAAGTCTTCAAAGAACTCATCCCAGGTACTCTGGTCAGGACGCATGTTTATGCCTTTGGTAAAATGGAAGAAAGACACAGCTGCATCCTTTGGATTCCGAAACAAAACCAGTATCTTTAAAATAAAAAAGAATATATTGGCATGATGATGTAAATCTAAAATATAGGAGAGCAGAGACAGAATAGTAAAAACATTCCATTTTTAAAAATCGAAGTATGAAAGTTCAAATATATTTGGAAATTAACTGAATGGGGATTAAAAATAAAATTATCAAATTAGGAGAACTTTTTTTTAAAAGTTCCTTCCCAAGACAGAATAGCAGAAAAACTCTAAGGGACCTTGGAGGTCTTCTATTCCATCCCAGGGGACACAGTACCTTTCTGAACAAATTGTTATCCAATATCTTCTATTTCTATTTCCGAAGTAAAGTATTTTAAGTAGCAAAGCTAAGAATATTTAACATGAGATTCAAAAATGTTCGGTCTGAATAATTAAGTGAAGATACCATTGATTTGATTAATTTGTCTGATACAACACTAAATAATGAAATCAAAGTCTGCAACAATCCCAGACTTCGATCTCCAATGTTGCTCCTTTCTTGCTTTCTTGAAAAACAGAAAAAGAAATCATTCAATTTTTATTTTGAATAAAATACAGTTTCTTATAGCTGTGCTCCAGGCCAGTTCAGGACCTGAAAAGTTTGTTTGATCTTGGGCGTGTTGTCCTATTTTTCTGTGTAAATTAATTTGAAAACACCTTATTGATAAATGATATGTGTACTAATGATATATAAAATCGTAATTGAGCAAATGCAGGTACTTACTTTTGTTTTCTTTTCAAAAAGAGACCTGGGCAACTTTTGAGGGATGAGGTGTGTTCTTATAACTCTTCTGGAAGGCAGTTTTTCCATCCTCTTTAATATTAAAATCATAGGAAATTAATACCATTCATGCACAGAAAATCATACACAAATATAAATTAGGGATATTCAAGTTCATCCATTAAAAAAAAAACTGAGTCTCACCGATCTTTGTCCACTGTGGTGAAATCTCCAGTTAGACTGGAGGGAGGTGTTAAGAGGAGCCTGAGTTTGGAGTTAGGGTTTTAAATATGGTTGTTTTTTCCTTGTCATGCAAACTGTGTGTTTAAAAATGACTTTTGGCATCTCATTCTAACTAATAGAAAGGAATAACTGAAAACAGTTCCAGATTGTGTCCAGTATGTTCAATACAGCATTCCAGAACTTTTCAGCTCACATGGAAATCTTGGTTGGATACAATGGTCCCTTAATTGATTCCAGAGAAATGGATATGGTCTCCATCAGTAAAATAGGGATATTCTTCAGATGTGTAATGGACACCTGGATCCTTCCCTACTGTTTAAGTTATCTGACTGTTATTGATAAACTGCATTTTTCCACAATAGGCTGATCTAAATATTCCTGATAAGATACAGATCAACAGAAAATATTTTAAAATAAGGACAAGCTGAAAATCTCTGACAGAATTTTCAATTCAGGTCCTATTTCATTATTATTATTATTATTATTATTATTATTATTATTATTATTATTATTATTATTATTATTATTATTATTATTATTATTTGCTTGTCTTCATGAAGCCTGTGTATGGTCCCTTAATTGGCAGTGTGTGGGTGTTTATCACTGATATTTAGTGGCATAGTAACAAAATTTAAAGATGCAATTTCACTCTGTAGTCCAATGGAAATAACACTAGATAAGGCTGGCTAAGCTTTGGAATAGAATTAATTCTATTAATTAACACAAGAGCACACAACAGATATAAACTAAATGTGAACCACTCCAAACTTGATTGCAGGAAGTACGATTTCAGCAACAGAGTGGTCAATGTCTGGAACTCACTACCCGATTCTGTTATCACATGCTCAAACCCCCACTGTAGAGGTCTGTAAGGGGCATGCATAAGCGCACAATCGTGCCTACCATCCCTGTCCTATTGTCCCCCTTTATTAGTTCCTATTTCATTAAACTTATGTTTATTCTTATTTCTATTATATTGTAAGCATCTGACAAAACAAACAAACAAACAAACAAACAAACAAATAATAAAAACCAAAGCAGGCAAGCTAAAAATGTTCTCTGTGCTGGCTTGGGTCTTCATGTCAGTGGTGGCTCCCTTGTGTCTTCTGTCAAAGTATCACTATGTCCCACCAATACATACATATTTGGATGACTGCAACAAGGATCCCTGCCCCAACTTTAGTTTATTTCTTATAGTTTAATGTTATGATATTTAAGGACTTTGTTTGTAGTAGAGCTCCAACGATCTACAATAAATCCTTGCAGTGAGAAACCTCACAGAAACCTCACACAAACATCCCTATTTCTTTTCTACCCCCATCCAGTTTTTTTTTTTATCTTTTCTTTTCTAGTGAGTGAATTTCACATTGTTAAGTCTCAAGGTGCTCTAAGCTATATAAATAGCTCTCTTTTTACAAACCCTTCTTGGCTAGTAAATATTTCATGTAATTTTCCTGCCACTTGATAGAAGCTACTGAGTATTTCTCTGACTTCTAACCTCAAATTTTTCTGGATCTCCAAATTCAAGAAAAGGAAATAGTGATACTTCTTGCAGTATTTGCTGCCTTCTCTTCTGTTCGTCTTCCTCATATTTTCCAGAGGCAATTTCCAGCTGTGTTAAAATCTCCCCAACCCAGTTTGAACCTGAAGAAATGCAAAAATATTGTCATTTAATATGTAAAAGTACATAGATTTACCATAGGTCATTTCAATGATATCAGAGTTGAAAATATAAATATAGAATGAGAAAATGCAGGTATAAATATTGTGCATGAAAGGTCAAAAAGGGAGAGAGAGGGGGAGGGTTTCAGTTGTCTGTTGCATGCACAGTATCTTTAAGTATATAGACTTGTTGAGTAAGAATTTGATATTGAACAAGTAACTAGACATTAGGCATTGTTAATGAAAATGGCTGTCTTCTTCTTAAAATAATAATATAGAATCATAGAAAACTGCCTGATAGAACTGTATTATAATCTACATTGCATGAAATATTCATGGTTTCAAAATCAAAGTCCTTGAAACCTTGAATAGTTAAATCTATCTGGTTTGACTAGATATGTGCTACTGTATATGTAATTCTTTTGGGGTATATCCACAGAATACAGAATTTATCAACACACCAGTGATTTGGCCTGCCCACAACCTGATATAATCATTTTTCAATACTGCACAAGCAATAGGAAAATTAATTTTACAACTTTTGTTTATGTCGCATGGATTGATTTCATACATCGCATGGATTGATTTGGAAAATATGTAACTGGCATTTTCAGAATTACAGTATTGAAGGTATTTATATAGTTGATTATTTTAAGCAGAAATTCCAATGTCATTGTATGACCCCAGTATTTCTGGAAATGCACAGAAGGTCAAGAAGGTCACCTTAAACATAGTAATCAGTGAGGATTTCATAAAGAGAAATTATTTAACCCCATCACAATAAAATGTCTAGTGCTTTGACATCTGCTAGTTTTCATTTAACAGGAATTTTTTTTAGAAACTCTAAAGAACCTATCAAACATGCATACATTTGACCAGGATGGTATAAGTTCTCCTGCCTTGAGAAGAGGGCTGGACTAGAAGATCTCCAAGGTTCCTTCCTACCCTATGATTCTATATTCTATGTGTACAGAGACAAAAGCATTCCTTGCAAAACTGTGGTGCTTACCTGTTTTGGGGTATGACACTAGTATGATATCATCTTCCCGAGCTCTAAAAGTATGAATCCTTTTCAGGATTTCTGGGCAACAGATCATAGTAGGATATAACACCCCATCATACATAAATGTCAGTTCCGAAGAAGTGGCCTTTTTATTTTCTTCCAACTTCTCATCTAGAAATTTGCTTAGCTGTTTTTGAGCCATGATTGTGCTATTCCGATTCCACAGATGGGTAGCTTCTCAGACCACAGATGGGTAGCTTAGAGATTCAGTTGGCTTCGTAAGTGAAGCTACTACATTTATAGAGAAATCAACTGTCACATGACAAAGAACACTCTCTGGATCTTGTTACTAATTAAATGTCACAAAATAAATCTATGAACAAAGTTTATTCAACCCTTCCCCCTGCAAATAAATAAATAAATCCAATGAAATTGTGGCCAACCTGGATTGAAGAGATAACATTTTAGAGAAAAGGACATTCTTAAGGGGATAACTCACCTGAGGCAACACACCTCTGAAAATGGGCTTAGAGTTGCTGAGTTTATGAAACACTTGCTGGACAGCATTCTAGAAATCTCAGAACAACACTTGATTAGAGCAAAAAGAGTGACAGTAATTAGCCATTGCAAAAGTAAGATATTCTGCTAGCAATTTTAACCCTCCTTTTTCTTATCTCTTTTTCTTTGTTCAGTTTCCATTGCCGTAGCCCACTTATTTTTGTCATCATAAAGCTTGCTACAAAATTCAATCAACATTTGGCAAGCTAATGCTGGGTGCTTAAAGTGATTCTGAAAGGCTTGCAGAAATTATATAATTGGATAATTATTATATATAATGTAATAATAGTATAATTTGTATTACATGTTGTATCTGATCTGGAAGAATCAGTATGCTCCAGGTACTGCTGGCTAGAAAAAGTTGGTTGATGGGGTCTCAAGGGAGAAGACATTTTGGTTGTAGCACCTGGAACAGCTTGCCCTCGGAAGTTGTGGGGGCGCCATCACTTGAGACTTTCAAGAAGAGATTGGACTGCCATTTGTCAGAAATGGTGTAGGGTCTCCCGCTTGGGCGGAGGGTTGGACTAGATGACCTACACAGTCCCTTCCAACTCTGATTATCTGTTATCTGTTATCTCTTACCTTTCATAAAGCCTTGAAAACTTAGATTTGTGCCCAACTCTGAATCCTTTGTCATGGAGTAGAGCCCACCTCTAGGTTGTATGCTATGTGTTTTAGTATTGTTTTTTATATTGTGTACTTTGTGTATTTTATTTGTTTTATTATAAACTGCTTGGATCCCTGGTCCGTGGCATGCCAGAAACCAGTCTGCACAAACAAGCAAAGCCCCATCTAAGGGATGCAGGCAGCACACAAAACCACATCCCCTCTGGTCCACGGAAAAACCTCTCTCCATGGAACTGGTCCTTGGTGCCCAAAAGGTTGGGGGCCACTCACATAAAAGTGAGGTGGATAGGTACATAAATTGAATAAATATCAAAACAACTGTACAAGCCTGGGGGACAAAGTGAATAAACTGTTTATAATAGATTAGAATAGAATTCTTTATTGGCCAAGTGTGATTGGATACACAAGGAATTTGTCTTGGTGCAAATGCTCTCAGTGTACATAAAAGAAAAGATACATTCATCAAAAGTTAAGAATCATAGGGTACAACATGTAATGATCGTCATGGGGTACAATAACCAATCAAATCATACTAGAAAACAGCCAATATAAATCGTAAGGATACAAGCGACAAAGTTACAGTCATACAGTCACAAGTGGGAGGGGATGGGTGATAAGGAGTGATGAGAAGGTTAATAGTAATAGGAGTGCAGACTTTCTAAATAGTTGGACAATGTTGAGGGATTTATTTGCTTAACAGAGTGATGGCATTCAGTAAAAAACTGTTCTTGTGTCTAGTTGTTCTGGTGTGCAGTGTTCTATGGTGTCGTTTTGAGGGTAATAATTGAAACAGTTTATGTCCAGGATGTGAGGGGTCTGTAAATATTTTCACAGCCCTCTTTTTGACTGGTGCAGGTTGGTAGTAATTGTTTTTTCTGCAGTCCTAATTACTCTCTGAAGTCTGTGTCTGTCTTGTTGGGTTGCAGAACCAAATCAGACAGTTATAGAGGTTCCTCTATAGAACTGGATCAGCTGCTCTTTGGGCAGTTTGAGCTTTCTGAGTTGGTGCAGAAAGAACATTCTTTGTTGTGCTTTTTTGATGACATTTTTGATGTTAGGTGTCCATTTTAGGTCTTGTGATATGATAGAACCTAGAAATGTGAAGGTCTCTACTGTTGATACTGTGATGTCTAGTATTGTAAGTGGTGGTAGTATAGGAGGGTTTCTCCTAAAGTCTACCACCATTTCTACAGTTTTGAGTGTGTTCAGTTCCAGATTGTTCTGGTTACACCACAAGGCAAATTGTACAACCTCCTATCCTATGTGGATTCATCGTTGTCTCAAATGAGACCAATCACTGTTGTATCATCTGCAAACTTCAGTATTGTAACAATGGATCATTTGAGATGCAGTCACTGATATATAGGGAGAAGAGAAGTGGAGAAAGCCTTGGGGGGGCCCTGTGCTAATTGTACAGATATCAGAAGTGATTCTGCCTAGCTTCACCTGCTGCTTCCTGTCTGTTAGGAAGCTTATGATCCACTTACAAGTGTGTTCAGGTACCTTTAGCTGGTTTAATTTAGTTAAGAATGTCTGGAATGATGGTATTGAATTGTATTGAACTGAAATCTACAAAGAGGACCCTTGCTTAGGTATTTGGAGATTCAAGGTGTTGTAGGATGTAGGGCAGAGCCATATTAACAGCATTCATCTGTTGATCTATTTACTTGGCATACAAACTGCATGGGATATAACAGTGGATCCGTGATGGTTTTCAGGTGGGACAGCACTAGCCTTTCAAAGATTTTCATAACTACCGATGTTAGAGCAACTGGTCTGTAGTCATTCAGTTCCCTGATCATTCAGTTCCCTCCTTTGGCACTGGGATGATAGTAGAGCATTTGAAGCAAAAGGAACATAGCATATTACTACTGATTTATTGAAGATTCGGGTGAAGATGGGGGCCAATTGGTCAGCACAGATTTTTAAGGCAGAATGAGTTATCTTGTCTGGCCCTGGTGCTTTTCCAAGCTTTTGTCTGTGAAATAGATCTTGTACTTTTTTTCTGTGATCACTAGAGGTTGTGAACCCAATAGGTTGGGGTCAGTTGTAGGAGGCTTGGCTGTTGTTGGTGTGTTTGAGATGGGGAGTGTGGAAATAGGTGGCTATAGTTTCCTTTCAAAACACATTCAGGTAGTCTGCTAGTTGATTTCCATCTGCCTGGGAAGGAGGTTTGCTGTAGCCAGTGATGTTTTTTTTTTATGTTTTCTTCAGCTACACCAACTGTTTGTTCCATAATAGACAGAGAAAGCACCTCTAATTGTTGATACTATACCCATGGCTGGACCAAGACAGAGAACTAGCCCCAGCCCTAATTGGAGGAACACAAAATAGATTAAAGGAGGCTACTTTTGGAGGAAAAAGAGAGAAAATTGACTCAAAAATTTATATCATATAAGAAGACCCCAACTTGGAGTGTAAGGAGTAATGAATGAAAGAGTAAAAGAAAAAAAATGATGAGGAATTTGGGAACTGAAATCCACACGTTTTAAATTTGCTGAAATGAGAATCTCTGCTTCCACCCAATTGCTCGATGGCATGCATGGCACAAAGACCATGTAGTAAAAGGAAAAAAAGCTCTCCTAATGCAGACTTCTCTCTGATTCAACCTTACCGACTCTCCATACATACACTATGTTAGACAAGTTGTTTTGGACCAGATGCAACTATCTTCCAAAAGACCCGTGCCCAGAAATAACCTAAATAAAGCTCATCAATACAGAGAACGCCTCTGTTGATATCTTCTCATTCAGGTTATTTGAAAGATGGCTAAAGTCTTCATCCAACCATAGCCTCCACCTATCCTTACCTACCACAGCCCATCTTCTGTTAAGGAGAGCCATTGGTGACTGTTTTCCTCAACAGCAGATGAAGCTCAGTGGCAGGAGAAATAATACTGGGGATTTCACCAATCACAGTCCTTAAATTGTCTGATGTGAATGCTGTAAGGACAGGACCACTCACAATCCTTCTTACTGAGGCAAATTAAAGCTTAGCCATTGGAGCATGTAATTTACATTAGGAATGTAGGGATATCAAGAAAGTCAAGATGGCAGCTACTAAGTCAAACATGCGAAAAAGGGGCAGGGCTTCAGTCACATATTATCAACACTACCTTGCTATGTTTGACAAGCACACAACCTATGGATGTATCTAATTTATGCTGATGTACCATTCCATTTAACTTAATGATAGGAGGAATTTATTGACTGGTCCAGAAAGAAAAGCTAAAGATTTAGATAGTTTGTTATATATCCACACAACTGTAAGCAAAGTCAGTAGGCTAGAAAAGAGCAGTTTGGTTTAGTGATGAAGGCATCAAACTAGAAACTAGGAGACTGTCAGTTCTAGTCCTGCCTTAGGTACAAAATCAACTAAGCAGCCTTGGGCCAGTCACTTCTTCTCAGCCCTGGGAAGGAAGCAATGGCAAATTACTTCTGAAAAAAACTTGCCAAGAAAACGAAGGGACTTGTCCAAACAGTCAACAGGAATCACAAACTGACTCAAGGCACACACACAAACACACACACACACACACACACACACACACACACACAGAGAGAGAGAGAGAGAGAGAGAGAGAGACTCAGTAGTGAATGTAAACAGGGTGGCATGCATTGGTTGTTCTGGGCTAATGCAGCTCCCTTCTATGCTCTGTATCTCCCATCCTCTTCTACTGGTATTAGCAATAGCACCTAGATTTATATACCGCTTTATAGTGCTTTACAGCCCTCTCTAAGTGGTTAACAGAGTCAGCATATTGCCCCCAACAGTCTGGGTTCTCATTTTACCTACCTCAGAAGGATGAAAGGCTGAGTCAACCTTGAGCCTGGTGAGATTCGAACTGCCAAATTGCAGGCAGCCGACAGTCAGCACAAAGTAGTCTGCAGTACTGCACTCTAACCACTGCATCACCTCAGCTAATCTGCTTCTCTCTTTAGCAGAAAATGCCAAAAAAGAACAATTCATTTGTATTATGGCCAAGATAATAACACATAAACTGTAATTAGAATTAAA